AAAGAAATAATTTTTGATAGCGGTTCATTGTGTTGATATGCACCATGGGATCATTAGTTCACAAAAACTTTTCATTTATGTTAGGAGTGTTAGTTTTATTTAGTGCTTCAAAACAATAATTTCACACGTTTGACTTGTGGACCATTTATATAGTGTGGTCCAAGGTGACCAGTCTTTTCTTTTTGCCTCCTTTAATTGGCGTGGAGGGACTTCCTTTGCTACCCATTGATGTGACAACCAAGCAACCCTTTTTTTGAAAAAACAAATTTGTGCTGGTCCATCTTGTTGTGGTGGACCTTTGGTCCACCATCTCTAAATTCACATTTTTGCATGACGTGGGTTCTTTTTCCCACTTTCGTGGCAGTGAGGCAAACCCACTTTATTATTCTAGGAATTTTAAACACTCTCTCTCCCCTATTTTAACCCCCTTGCTCTGATACCACAATTGTAAAAGGGTTGCTTGGTTGTCACGTCAATGGGTAGCAAAGGAAGTCCCTCCATGCCAATTAAAGGAGGCAAAAAAGAAAGAGTGATCCTCTTGGACCACACTATATAAATGGTCCACAAGTCAAACATGTGAAATTATTGTTTTGAAGCACTAAATAAAACTAACAGTCCTAACATAAATGAAAAGTTTTTGTGAACTAATGATCCCATGGTGCATATCACCACAATGCACCACTATAAAAAATTATTTCTTCATATAATATTTGTTTTTTGTTTTTATTCTATTACTATTACTATTAATATATTATGTTCACTATTATTTTTCAGTTAAAAAGGTTTTAGGGTCATCACCTTTATTATTATTATTTTATTAGTTCTAAAAATTTAGAGTCGTTACAGCCGAGATCAGAGAGGAGACACATGGCAACCAACAAGGGTGCTCTCCCCCTTATCCCACAAACCCTCCCCCGAGAAGGGGGAAAAAAAAGAAAGAAAAATAACTGTGCTGCAAAAATTAGCTATTTATCCCACTGCCCAAAGCCAACCCACATTTAATGACAAACACATTTCCCCTGCCCTAATTAATACTCCGGTCTCTTCATTTCCAACGCCCTCAAACTGCCAACCATCACGTCCATCAACTTAGCCAGTATGGAATTCCAAGAAGAGGATCATTGACACCATTCCTTAGCCCTACTCTAGAGCTTGACCTCTTAAGCCCATCCCATTCCTCGAACACAATTCCCCACGCAAAACCATCAAGTCCCTTATCAAGCTTGCAGCAAGTTCCCCATCCCTGTCCACCCCTCAGGAATGACAAAAGACCAATGGAACAACAGTTGTAGGCTGCCATTATTATGACAGCAAGCCAAAATATGCCATGTCCCGAGTAGAGGAGTCTCATTAATGGAGGAAATCCACACCCAAGTATGCCCGAATCCTGCATTTAATATCCCTCCACAGTCCCAAAACAATGATGGTTCTTCATCCTCCACCCACAGCAAGGGCCCCAGCAAAGACTTGACAAGTGCATTTCCTAGGACCATAAAAGTGGCAGTGTAGATAATTCCAAAACTCTGCAAGTCACAAGCTCAAGCCACCTCAATTAGTGAGGATTCACCCAAGCCACAAGTGGCAGTGTAGATAATTCCAAAACTCTGCAAGTCACAAGCGCTGCCTAGCTACCTGCCTTCCATTCAAATATACATTTCCCTTTCCATTCTTCAGAGTATCACCCTCCCAAATCCTTATTCAATCCTCCCACCCTTGCCACTCCAGAGACCTTCGTGTCTCACTGATGGAGGGTAAAATTATTCGCATGTTTTTATCTTATTCAACTTTAAAAAATGTATATTATAGTTTTAGTTAAAGGGTTTATTTCTAGGTTTTTTAGTTTTTTAGGGATTCCAGGGTTTTTACTTTTTTATTTACTTCATAAATACTATATTTACAAGTACTATTCATGTTAGAACTTCGCTCGGACAAAGCACCGGGGGCCAACTGGTTCCTAGTTGCCCTCTTTAACAAACATTGGGAGGTATTTACCCCAGACCTCCTCGAAATTTTCAATGAATGCTACAATTAAGGGGGAGAATAGACAAAGGAATGAACACCACCTTTTTGGCCTTAGCTCCCAATGTAGAGGGCACTGAACGCCTTAGGGTTTACTGCCTTATAAGGCTCTGGAATAGCGCCTATAGAACCTTGATCAAGATCCTTGCCTCGCGTCAAAAGGATGTAGATAGCAAGCTCATTTCAAAAACTCCAAAGCTGTCTTTGTGGCTAATAAGCAAATCCTAGATGGAGGTCTCTTGACACATGAAACCATCCACTCTCACTATCATGCCACCCAATTTGGCCTGGTGGTCAAACAAGACTGTGGAAAAGCATATGGCCACTTTCATTGGTCTCTTCTTGATGAAGCTTAGAAAAGTGGCTTTTGACTAGACGTGTTGCTCTTGGATCTAAGGCTGCTTCTCTTCCCCCTCTTTCTATGTCCTTATTAACCAATCTCCAGAAAGCTTTTTCGAAGACTCAAGAGGACCCTCCCTAGATTTCAAAATGTCCTTTCACATGCCGGTTTCCGTGATGAATAGGTTGGAAAAATTTTATGACACTTTCTTTGGTCAAATGGAAAAAATAACCACAAGTTCAACTTTATTGCTTAGGAGAAAGTCTGTAAACCGAAGAAAGAAAGGGGCGTTTATGCTTTAGAGACCTAAAACAGGTAAATTTAGCACTCTTGGGTAAGTGATGGAAGCAGCTTGTTAATGAAGAAAATCATCTTTGCTCAAGTCTCTCTCTCTCTCTCTCTCTCTCTCTCTCTCTCTCTCTCTCTCTCTCTCTCTCTCTCTACTCTCTCTCTCTCTCTCTACTCTCTCTCTCTCTACGTCTACTCTACTCTCTCTACTCTACTACTCTCTCTCTCTC